TTGACGGCTTTTCTGCCTAGCTTTCAGTGGTCATCCCTGAGGGGTATTTTAACTCTCCTCTGGGATGAGACTTCATCTTGACGAGCGAATTCAAATCTTGGATGCTGGCCAATATTTTCGACAGCTGCATGAGTGAGTTGCCATTGGGGATAAGCCTCGTATCCTTAACCTGACCATAGCTAGAAATATAAAGCATAAATTGTCCACACCCCTGATTTATGCTTCCAAACTCAGTGGCTGTTTTCACTTATCCGCAGATGGTCGTTCATATCGAGGATTTGCTTAGAAATCTGACGGCTAAATGAGAAATCAGTAAACCGGCAAGTCCAAGAATTCCTAAAACCAGCTATCTTGAACGAAAGATCTCCCCCATTTCGTGTTCTGTCGCACTTCTGAATGCGCTATTGCTGCGCCGCTCGCCGGCCTATTCCCGACTATGAGGTCGTCTTTGAGTGGCGGCTCGAACAGCTGCGCACAGTAGTGTTTGCTGTCACAACTGCAAAGGGGCATACTCTCTCCAACTTATCGGCCTTGGATGTCCTCAGCTTGCCTCTCTTCTAGAACTACTATTAACGGGTCATGCTTTTTTGCCTCTTCATGCAGTAAAACGTTCTTTTCTGATGGGGAATCGTTTCATTTACTGGTGCTTGGGTCGATATTTACCTTTTTCAGTGCTCCGTTGACATGGATGAGCAATTTAACCTAGTACTTTCAGTCAGCCGTCCTAAGATTGAGCGCCTTCATTGTAGGGATTTTTGGCTCGGTGCGGAAACCAAGGCCAAATTACATCTTTTTAAAAGCAACTTCCATTTCAGCCGTTCAAGACGCCTTCAGTTGGTGCTACCTAGTCTCTGCCTCATTGCTTTCGTGGACCCCCTAGACCATGGTAGCTCTATGAAAGGCAAGAACGACGAGGGGAGTAATTTCCTGCTCTGCAACGATAACAACGTCCCATCTAGGCTACCGCCAACCGCAGAGCTGGTTTCCTGGTAAACAATAGTACCCCCTCGCCATGGCCCCCCGGCATTACAAAGTGGGATGGAGAACATAGGTAGACCACTTTCTACCTGCCCTCAACTTCACTTGCTCCGCAAACTGTGCACTCGTCCCTTAATTCTGTGAACGCGAGATAGCTACTTTTTCCCGATCAGTGTCTGAGGTGGCAACCTACTTACATCCCTGTGCAGTTGCAATTGATGAAAGTTGTCTTAAGAACACAAGTTATGAACGCGCCTGGCTTAATCGGCTGAAAGAGCCACCGGAGTTGGGATTGGAGATTAGCAGGTTAATAACGACAAATAAGCCAGACATGATTATTGTAGCACTTCTAGTCTTCATCGGTATCAATTCTCGACTGCGTTCCCTCGTTTACCCGTCGATTCTAGTCGTTCCTTAGAGGTTTTTGCTTGCGCGGACCCCCTATTACCAGTCCTTTTCGACTTGCTGTGCCTTCGCGAACCTCTTGAAAGTGAATTTTTTTGTCTGTCCCCTTCCCCCTATTCACCCGGAGAGACGTGGTGCGATTGATGTTCCTTTAACATCCGCAAGGAGTTGAAGTTTCAGCTAAGTAGTTCAATCGGAAACCTAGCCTGTTCATGCTCTGGAAAAAATGCCGGAATTAAGCTAGGCACGACAACTGCACAAGAAGCTACAGGAGCAAAAACGGTCAGATTTTCAGTTATGTAGGGACCATTGCATTCGTGATGGTCTGGTGTTTGAAAAAAATAATCGGACAATCAAGACTGCAAACAAGGAAAGACAGAGAAATGCTACATTTTCTTGTGTGATTGGTTGCTTAGCATTAGTATCATTAATACCAAGTCCCCCGTACACCGGCGCTACCTTTGCCTACAGTGAGTGACCGATCTCATGAAGTTTTGGCTGAAATTCTGAAATGCGTTTTCGATTAGGTAGGATTACTTGGGCGCGGTTGTAATACTAATTATCTTGGGACATAATCCTATAATATTTTGGACTCGGCAGAATGTCAGCTTTTCAATACACTGCTTTTCAATCTCCTGTAGAAACCGTATTCGATAAAAAAAAAATGACTACTTAAGTAGCATGCATTTTCCCATTTACTTTCGATGGTCTTATAAATTCAAATATATTTTATGAAAAACATGAACGAAAACATCCTTTCTTTGACTCTTTTCATAGAGAATTACGCGGTCTTCATAGTTTATACTCGAAGAAGGAGTATAATTAGGTTTTAGAAAAGTTTTCTAATTGCCGAATAACTTAGAGCCTGATCATTCGTTGCATTAGCGCTTAGTGATCTCAGTCTACAAGGTGAATGCGTTCCGCGTAACTAAAATCACATATTTTCCTGTGCCTTTAAAAAGATATCATACAGAGCCCATAAAATTTTGCAATGGATGCGGACTATGTTGTACATTTCATGAGGAGCTATGGTAAACGTCCAGGTGCGATGCTATGTGAATGGACATTTCGCGGTCTTAAAAAATCTCATAATTAGAAACTTTATTAAAACCTCATTATATTCCTTTCTTGAGTATAATATATACAGAAGATGTGATTCTCTATTAATTGACTGAAAGAAAACATATTTTTGTTTATGGTTTCTATAAGATATATTTGAATTCGCAAGACCATCGAAAATCAATGGGAAAATGCATGCTACTTAAGTAGTCATTTTTTTATCGAGTACGGTTTCTACAGGAGATTGAAAAGCAGTGTATTCAAAAGCTGACATCCTGCCGAGTCCGAAATGTTATAAGATTATGCCGTAAGCTAATCAGTATTACAACTGCGACCAAGTAATCATTCCAAATCGAAAACGCATTTCAGAATTTCAGCCAACATTTCATGAGATCGTTCACTCACTGAATTGTTGTCTTTTGCGATGGATTCGAGGGTGAATTCAAAAGGTCAGCAAAGTATAATTCCTGTCTCAGCAATCGATTTTATGCTGTCGCATAAACTGGCCTCCTTTTGCTTTTTGTTTAGGTTTTTAGGGGACGAAGACTGTATGTTATTAAATAGTTGTTCGCCTTCCCCTTCAAAGCTTCTTAAATCTGTTTTATCCCTTCTATACCGTACCCAGGTTTCCCGTTTCCTTCAACTCCAGCGGTATAACTGGTGGTATTCTTGTCTGTTCTGTTGACTTGGTTGCCATTTACAAGACCTTTGGGATAAGTTTCTTGTGTTTTTAGAATGTGCAACAGCTTCGGCTGTGTGAAATTCTAAAGACCCTTTTTGCGCACCGAGTTTGGTATCCTCATCGTAGACAGCAGGATGGTGGGTGCACGAAGTTAATTAGTTTCAGTCTATCTCTAACGTTTAAGTTCGCTTACCTGACTTTTAGTAGACGGATAGCTCCTATGGGTCACTTATTTTTTGTGCGGTACCCATCATATCCTCCTAAGCAAACAATAGGCGGTTAGGGGATTTAGCGTTTCATGAGTCGGATGATTAGTATTAGACTCAGGATAATGTTTGTCGTCATCTAATTTTCTGCAATAGCCGTTCTGCCTTCTGTTCATAGGAGATTTCACAGCTTTGATTTGTGACCGTATATGCCTCGTTGACTTATACGAATTTACAGATAATAATGAGACAGGCGCGAGTGTCTTAACGCCCGACAGTAACTAGCATTACAGAACAATTTGCTGCTCCTATTTAAGCCCTATAGAGAATAAACGTGGATGTATGCGCAAATAGAAGGCTACTGTGACTCAGTTCCTAACTGATCTACGAGTTTTTTACTGTCCAAATTTAGTAGTGTGAAGGCATCCTTTATTTCGAGAAGGAAAACTTCAGCTTAGAGGTTTGTCATGTTACCATAGGTGGAGATTTACTAGTCACACTAACAAATTTTTGGCCTGTCTGCACCATTGCCGAACCGCTGACCCAAAGCTGACTTACCCAGGAGAGGTAGACTGAGATGCCGATAACTACGTGCACGCACTTTGGACGTTTGTGAGCTAGAAGAACCTAGAAAATAATACACCTGAGCGCCTAAGACAATCGAAGTCCGGTTTCCCTGTTTACCAGTCTTAACTTCGTGGCGCGATTGTCGATATCCCAGTTTCTTGACGAACTAAAACATTTTGCCAATTTCTCTTTATAGGGAATTGTTGGATCGAGTCAACCTGTACGCATGCACCATTTATGCTGTAGGTGATTTAATACCTTTGCATTCAGTCTTAGTGATAGTCGCATTGACTTAGCAGCTATTGTGGACTGTAGTTCAGAAAATCGCGTACATCCCACTTCGAGTTAATACGATTTAACTTGTTGCAGGGAATGTTTTTTATTATTCGTCTCCTACACGCAACGGTATGTCTACTTGCTTCCTCCTAAGCTATCCGTTCTTGGATTAGCGGGTCTGCTTGAGAAGAGTTTGGTAATATCTACATCTAGCTGCCAACCCAGTTTTCTTGGAAAATTTGCATTTGCATTATTGAGTCCTCGTAACCCAGAGGTTAGTTGGTTTTATCGATATCGTGTCTGGTTTTTTTTTAGTTATGCACTTGTCTACCCTTTCTCCAGAATGTTCTTACTACTTCCCCTATTATCTAAT